ACAACTGTTACTGCTGCTACTACCACCACGCTTCTCTACGCACTCTGATGGAAAATAAGTAGTTTGTGTTGGCGTAAATAATGTATGTATTCTTTTGGTAGGGTATATTCTATACTTCTACCACAATTTGTCTCAAAACTAATCTTACTATTTGATTGTAATAATTCTGTATAAGTATAAAGTTCTCCATCCATTTGTTGTGCTTCTATTGGTTTATCCGAATATGTTATATATTGTTTTGGAATTAATTTTTTATTAATGATACAATTGCTACATCCTGAGTCTATTAAACCTAGACATTTTATTTTATATTGTTCTATTCTTATATAACATTTTACCTTAATACTTTTAAATTTTTCTAAATTACATATTACCTAAACATATTCTTTTTCTTTATATTCTATACCTTCACTTTGTTCTTCTATTTCTTTTGTTTTTCCTTTATTATTATATTCTAACATTTCTATCTTATTTATTATAAATTTTTGCATTTCTTCTAAGCTTTCAATTCTTTTTATAAGAATTTTTATCTCTGAAATTTCAATTTTTTCTTTTAAAATTTCTGAATTGACTTCTTCTTTTTCAATAAGATTCTTTTCTTCTAAACATTTTATACATGCTTCTTTATAGCATTCTAAGCATTTGGCTATAAGTTTTCTTACCGGATACCAATTACATAAATAGCAAGCTATATTATCTGCTCCTTTATATTTTTGTCAATTATGTAAACATTCTATAATTACGTTATTCATTAAATTTAGTTCTTCTTCTGATTCTGATTTTTCTTGTAATCTTATATTAGAGAATTCATCTATTATTTCATAATCAGATTCTTTATTTTCTTCTAAATTTTTATCTTCTATTGATATAATGCTATAAATGGATTCTTTATTTGAGATATATTCATCTAATTGTATTAGATCTTCATTAATGCATTCTATTAATGTACTTTTCTTATCATAATTATTTATTCTTTTTGGACAAATCTTAGATAAATGTTCATTACTATTGCAAACATAATAACTAAGTCTATTTTTATAAGTTCTTTCTGGTTTAAATTTCCTCACATGTCTTTTTTCATCTAAATATGGTTTTCTTTTATTGGATTTTCTAAGAAAATATCTTTTTTTAAAAAGTCTTTTATTCTTTCTTTCTTTATTACTATATTTGTTTTTTCTTGAACTAGAGGCTCTATAAGTTTGTGAGATAAAAATATCTTTACAGAATTTATAATCTGTCTTTTTAAGTTGTTTTTGAATTTGTAATTCTACACATTTATTTTCTAAACATCTTATTACATGTTAAAGTCCCGACACCTTCTCTAATAATAGAGCTTTTTTCTAAAAGTCTACAGTATAATGATAAAAGGTCTTCTATCTTTTCTTTCTTCAGTTTTGTTTTGTTATGCATCATTGAAGATCTATATCACATATTAAGATTGTGGCGTGTCACTGATGAAAATGATATTCCACTGTCTGAATTATTGTATCCTTCATCTTGTGGATCTTCGTCTCCATCTGAAAGTCTGGAATTACTGGCTTCATCTTTTTCTTTTTGTTCTGGGCATTCTGAAATTTCTTTTTCTTCTCCATGATTCTTTTTTAAAATTGTCTCAAATGATTGATTGACTGCGTAAATGAATAATAGAAATTAAATTCATATTTTAAGTAGCACAAAAATGAATCATGTTTGACACAAAAATGCAGTTGAATAAGAATTTAAATAAATCTCAGCTTTGATGACAGCCTGTTTGATTGCATAAATACGTAATATTCCACAATATCTATCCTATTTAGAATGTCAGCCATTAATCTGTCGTGAATGTAATTGAATATTAGTAACATTATATGTAAACAGGGTTAAAGGATTGGTTCGTACCTCAATTCATTGACAAGCTGGCAAAAGGTAGGTAAACTTCAAATCATCAATACTTAACCACTAAACTTTTATAATACTATCAATTCTGTCCACATAAACTAGTGTCGAGTCAGATTTAGCTTGCAACATGCTTTTGTTGCTTGAGCATGAACGTTAATTGTTCAAAGAATCCATATGTGACTCCTTTAAACATAACACATTATTAGGGATGTCAACGAATTGAATCGAACTCGAGTTTCGAATTTGTAAAAATGGTTCGAAATTTTTTTGGCCCAAGCAAAAAATCTAGGTTTAACCCGAACTTTCGGCTTGGACTTTATCGAGCAGAGCCAGCTTGCTTTTTTTCTTCTTATTCTTCTTCTTTTTTTATTATAGCTGCCAGCTATAAGTAGTAAGTAGCTACACTAAGACAGCGGTACAACAAGGCAATTATTATTATTATTTTTAAGTTTTGCAGATTTTATTTATTTATTATTTTTTTAAGGCTCAGTTTGTTACGGGCCGAAAATTACCCGTAACATTGGCTGGTTCGGGCAGAGAGTCGACTCTAACTTTTCCTGACCTGAAACATGGGCCGCCTAAGTCAGCAAGCTAAATTGACACCTCTATCTATTATCCATCAGGACACCCAAGTCGATGAGCCAAATTGATACCCCTATCTGTTATCCATCAGAATCATCAAACAACATAAAATAGATAAGGTCGGAACTCGGGATAAATAAATTTTTGTAATAAACACCATCTAGTTGGACGGTTAATATCTACGATTATACTACATAAGCGTATTGTAAGTCAAATCAACTTCGCTGTTAGTTTGTGCAGGATAAAAATTATAAAATCCAATGACTAAATATAGACAATTTAAAATTTAGAGACAATTTCTGAATATGTCTAAAGTTAAGGAACTAATATATAAATATGATGTTAATTATATTGAAAGTGGGGATAGCCTTTTCCCACTTGTTTAGATTATAAAAGAGAAACGCATATCAGCTGTCCCATTTTGCACCGATTTCCGCTGCCAAATCAACAACTAATTATTATGCATATAATTTCAAACTAAAAAGCCAGCATATAACATTAGCACTGAATAAATTGACACATTAGATTACACATTCTATTAATTAAAAAAAAAAATTAGTACCACGAGAAATTAGATTTGATTATTGAAAAAAAAGTGCCACTTATGGTGTTCGACTAGGAGTGATTTTAAGCCGATGGTTCTGCGAAATATGTGAATAAGAAGCATGTAATTATTATGGATTTCACGAAATATTTGAATAAAGTATAAATTATATTTAGCCCCTTTTTAGTGTTATTCCCCTATCTGAACCACTTCAGAAAGTTTTCCACTGTGTCATACAAGGTGTCCAACATCCATTGGAAGTGACTCCATCACCGATGTTGGCGAGCTGCTAACATGCTGCGAGGCATGAACAATTGTACTGAGCCAACTGAAGCGTTCTTGGCTTTGACCTCGAAGTACAATGCACTCCGACGACCTCTGTCAGAAGATCCGTCGCCAATTTCAGAAAAAGATTTGTGTCAAGATACTCTATTCCCCCAAAGTTTAATTGATTTGACGTCTCTATGGGCCTAGTTGATGTGACATATCAACTTTATGTCAACTCAACTCGGGAGAAGTTATTATCCGCCCGCTCTATAGACGCGATTGATTGACGCCTATGAGCAGATGTCTCACACTGTCAGATGTATACACGTGTCCCACATCTAACGGTTCTCTTCAACAATAAATACTCAAGGTTTGAGAAGATGTAAATGTAATAAAACTCTTACAATTTAGCTCTTCATAACAAGTAAATATATATTCTCCTCCCCACCCTTTTCGCACAACCTTGGCACTTTTTTGATCACCAGGAGTTGACTTGACCGTCGAAATGTATGCGGCTGCCGCCACCCCCGTTGGTTCCGGCCGTGTGCATCTAACCGTGCGTTGATTGTGCTCGGAGAGGATTTCGTGGAGCAGCTATCTATTGGCCACGTGGAGGGTCCAATTAGCGAGGTCAACATTTAGTGTTAGCTAAAAACAAAAATTATAATAAATATTAATAAAAGTTGAAGAAATGTGTGATTGAAAAGTTAAAAAAGTTGTGGGTTCAATAAATATTTGATTAAAATTAATCGTTAACTTAAACTTTAATTTTTATTAACTTTAATCTATACGATGGCTAAGTATTTCCAAACATGCACTAAATTAAGATAAACCCAAAACACTAAAACCGACAACCTTATGAGCGGATTCCTTGTCAATGACTTGCTGGGAATAATAATATTCTTACAGAACCATACCAAACACATTTATAATTTATTAAACACGTGGGATACTGTCTTTGTTAGGATTTTATCTTTCCATTATTACATTGAACTTGTTTGGCTAAGTACGACAAAAGTAAAATTTATTTGTAATTAATTTATTGTTTTTGAACATATTTAAACTTACCTTTTTAAATAAGAATTTACTTATTTTTAAATTTTTTTTTCTCATACTCATTTATTTGGAAAATTTGCATTCTCAACCTATAAACCATGTGTGTCACTACCGTACTTGAAATAGTCCCCGACCTACATGGTAAGATTAGTAGACAGTTACATAAAATTCAATCAACAAAATAATTAAATATATAGATATCACCGTCGTGATAAAATTGTAAGGTCAAAAAAAGAAGTCAAAGACTCGAAAGAATTACACCGTAAAATTCGATTTTATGAAAAGGATATATATAATTGAATCATGATCCTAATATTCGACAACAATCGAAATTCATACATTTGTATGTCCTTTTTCTCTTTCTCTAATGATTTTAGTTAAGAAACTAGCCATCATGCCACATGCTTAAATTTATATATTAATTTATCATTTTCCTGCCAACGGTGGGAGCGCACTTCCTCCACCATTATCTCCCTCGATTTCTCATTTTCAGTTGACTACTTCTTCAATTTCTTTCTCTCATTCTCATTCTCATTCTCATTCTCATATACATTTGTATGTCCTTTTTCTCTTTCTCTAATGATTTTAGTTAAGAAACTAGCCATCATGCCACATGCTTAAATTTATATATGAATTTATCATTTTCCTGCCAACGGTGGGAGCGCACTTCCTCCACCATTATCTCCCTCGATTTCTCATTTTCAGTTGACTACTTCTTCAATTTCTTTCTCTCACTCTCATTCTCATTCTCCCTCCCTCTCTCTCTCTCTCTAAGATAGTAAGGTACACGTTGTCTGGGAATTAATACAACTTAAATTATGGAGATTCAGTTACGTTCTTGCTGTAACACGATTGTTCAATAATTTCTGAAAACTCACAAATGTAAAGAGAGATATATAGAGTATCGGATAAATGTGTGGGTTGGGTGTTTACAGTGTATGATCTTTCATTCTTTCATGGACGATGACCAAGTCTTCTAACTTTGTAAGTCTTTCTTTTCTATGCATCCATTTAGTGCATGCACGTCGGTAGATGCATGTATCCACCCGTTAATCTTATCTTTTTGGGGATGTCATATTATGTTTTGTGCTTTTATACATTTGAATCGATGATTATTTTGATTCTGTGATGTTCTTTTGAGGTTTTTAAGGTGATTTAAATGGGTACTAACGATCATGTCAGGTTGTTTGGGATCCAATTTCTGTTTTTTTGTTTCTGATAAGTTCATCAGTTCAAAGTATAAGCTATTGAATTTTGATTCGATTACGATCCCATCATCAACAAGTTAAAAGCTAGAGTAATTATTTTATATGTACACATCAATTTAGTAACAAGAAAAATAAACTCAAAGAGCTTGTAATGAAGGGTAGAACTCACCTAAAAATCGGCTTGTGTCAGGTTGTTTGGGATCCAATTTCTGTTTTTTTGTTTCTGATAAGTTCATCAGTTCAAAGTATAAGCTATTGAATTTTGATTCAATTACGATCCCATCATCAACAAGTTAAAAGCTAGAGTAATTATTTTATATGTACACATCAATTTAGTAACAAGAAAAATAAACTCAAAGAGCTTGTAATGAAGGGTAGAACTCACCTAAAAATCGGCTTGTAAGAGGCGGGTGTCCAAAGTGTTCACAAACCCAGAATCGGAACAAATTGGGCGAAGAATAGTGTAGAGTTTAAAGTGTAGTATACAAAAGATTATTACAACTACAATACGGAAAATATAAACTATAAGTGTAAAACCGAACCAAACAACCCAAAGCTTTTTCAACACCACTAATGGAGTCTCCTATGATGTTGAGCTCAAATTTGTGTCACACCGGATCATACACTGTCGTCCGGGAATGGCAATAGATATACCGAGAAAAAATCCACTGAAAGCCACCAAGAATTTCGCCAGAGATGTAGAATGCTCCCACTTAGTTACCTCTATTCTTTCTCTTCAATGTTATGCCAAGTCCAAAAATAAGAGAATGGAGAAGTCTTGTAATTATAGAGCCAATCGATTTGAATTCAAAATAATTCAAATATTTTACTATGGCAAAGTAGAAAGTAACAATACTAGTATAGGATAACTGACCACAAAATTAAATCCAACTATTGGATTTAATCTATGGTCCATATTATTCCTAAACTAGCGCAATCCACTTCACACTCTCTAGACCAATCAACTAACACCACCTATAGGGTGTGATCCGCCTTACAAATAGTATTCTTATAGCCGAACTCAAATTTATGGTAAATAAGGCTTAAACCTGCTTTCTACCTCTTCCTTTAGTTTTCGGCTGACGAGAGTATATCTTAGTATTAATTAGATATCTCTAATTTCTTCTGTGGTTCTTGCAATATCATGAAATTTCAGTGACTCAGGAATGCTCAGGTAATTAGATTCTCAAATTAATCCTATTTTCTCACAGATTTTCTGGTTGAGCTGCTTAGCTAATACTATTTAGTTTAACGTGAATATCCAATTTTGCACTAGAAGAACTGTGCAGTGTAACATAACTAGAGTTATGGGTTTCTGATCCACATCTCAGAAATTGCTAAACTTACTACTATGCTAAACTCGCTGCTCGTGATCCTTTTTCTTAACAAGATGAATATGTACATCTTTGTACGAGGTTGTCCCCCCAACAATGCGCTTGATAATTTTATCATCACTTGCATATTTTGGACAAGTACATGGTTTTCTGTTTATTCTCTTCGTTTGACAATAAACGGCTCGCTTACGTCCACTTCAAAATTTTCATGTAAGACTAGAGCTTGTTTTACTTAAGTATAGCAATTCATTTGAAAAAAAAATTATATTTGATTGATATTGTCGTTATTGGTTTGTTGATCCATCAGCTGCCTTGTACTTCTCAGGCATTGGTATTCAGAGATCCAAAACATAGAAGGTTCTGTTTCTGCGGTTTCCTTCCTGCAGCTTCTCTATTCTGTCTTGTTCTTTTCATATGGAGTGCGTTGATAGCTCAAAATAGTAAAGAGGTTATTGACGTTCTTTACTGACGTTCCTCTTAGGTTTCTTCGGCCGTAATTGCTCAAGAACTCAAGTTCATGTTAGATTTAGCTAACTCGGAATTTTTATGCAGAATTTCTTGATATGGGGCTTAAGGGGGAGTAATGCTAAATATGGTGCATGCAAGGTTTGTTCGTCTCTCAAAATATTCTTAAACCGATCCTCTGTTGGACCTGAATTCAGCTTCTATATCTAAATGTTAAAGGGTGAATCAAACTTGTAATCACTTTTCAAGGGAAAAAAACCATTTTGCTTCAATGGTTAAAGGAACAATTCGATTATGATTAAACTTCATATCTACTTTTTGGTACATGCAAACTTATATAGTGATGAACATGGATTATAATCTGTTTTATCTCGTTCTAGAATCGATGCAGGCCACCCGGAAGTGAGCCATTACCCGAAGGGATAGTTGCATCGACTTCTAACTTGGAAAAACGACCATTATGGGGTTCTCCGAAGGTAATATCCAAGTGCAATGTCATACTAATAAATTTATCGTAACCCCCGAATTATACTTATTTTTGAACATTTTCCATATTTAATGTAATCTTCCAATCAGAACACAAATACATCTAAAAGTTTATTTGCTGTTGCTGTTGGGATAAAGCAAAAGAAAACTGTAAATGAGATGGTTCAACGGGTAAACTATCTTTTCTTTTGAACTTGACATTCTTGGCAGATATTCACAGTGATAACCGTTTTCACTACCTCAATTTGCAGTTCCTGGCAAGCGATTTTGTTGTGATGCTTTTCCATTATGACGGTATTGTCGATGAGTGGCAGGATTTTGAATGGAGCAACAGTGTAATACACATATCTACTGGAAATCAAACTAAATGGTAGTATTCTCTTTGATGTTTATATTTACTTATAAGTAGAAGTTGGATTATCTTAAGATAGATTTGATGTCTTGACTTGAACCTCCTTTGACAATCTGATGATTTCCTCATTGATTACTGATTAGGTGGTTTGCAAAGAGATTCTTGCATCCGGATATAGTTGCCGAGTATGATTACATTTTCCTGTGGGATGAAGACCTCGGAGTCGAAAACTTCAATCCTGACAGGTATACAAAACTGAATTATTCTAACGAGGGTCGGGGGCAGAGGCCTAAAATCCTGCCTGGGCTTTGATGTGTTTTGCTTAAGAAAAAAGGAAAAACATCTGTTTTTTGTGTAGATATTTGTCAATTGTGAAAGATGAAGGGCTCCAAATATCACAACCAGCTCTCGATATCAGCAAATCTGAGGTGCATCATCTGATTACTGCAAGAGGGAGAAGAAAAAATGTGCACAGGTTAGTTCATTTATTTATAGAATTTACTTTGCCAAATGTGCCTGTTACCTGCAAAGCTAAATCAACAAGCTGAGAGCATTTTCAAAGTCATTTAGTGCACGTTTGGTTTGCTAGAAGACAAAACTGGACAATATCATGAACAAGTTTTAGCTTTTTTCTTTCTTCTATGTATTGAAGACTAAATTTAAATAAAAATGTTTTATCTCTAAGAGCCTAAGTTTTTAGAAGAGTTTATCTTTTCCAGTCAGCTTTTGGTTGTAATTTCTTTAGCTAAAATATTGCAGGAGAACTTACAAGCTTGGAACTACAGGAATTCATTGCGATGAAAATAGCTCTGCTCCTCCGTGCACCGGGTAGAGTTTACCAGTTAAACAACTTCACTTCATTTGCATTTGACATTTTAGATATTTTATCTTGGTTTTCTTTGTGGGACTATTTAGGGGAATTCATTCTGCACAAATTAATTTCTGTAGAAAAACTTTGATGAAGATTCATCTATATTTTGCAGGTGGATAGAAGTGATGGCCCCGGTGTTCTCAAAGGCTGCCTGGCGCTGTGTATGGTACATGATCCAGGTAGTGTTGAGTGTCAAGTCTTAAACATGCTTTAGATACTTATAAACGACAATGTTTAATCACAAGGACGACGATTGATTGTTTGAAATTTTTCACAGAATGACTTGATCCATGCTTGGGGATTAGACATGCAGCTTGGCTATTGTGCACAAGTAATTCCCTACCACTGATTATTCTTTCAAACGCTCTGTTTCTCAATGTTCTATTTGATGACTTGGCGTGCTCGTGCATAGGGCGACCGAACAAAAAATGTAGGAGTTGTCGATGCAGAATACATTGTTCATCTTGGTGTCCCAACACTAGGAGAATCTGATAACAAGGTAAATTCTATGATTTTCTGTTACATTGGTTAGCATTCTACACATGAACTTCAATGGCGATGTAGTGGGAAACTAGAAAGTAAATTTGTAGGTCTCACGTTCTAGTCCCCAAGTTTAGTGCAACGAACGTTATTTTAACTTCTTTTGTACGTTGTCCCCGTCGAGCGTACCAAATATGGCACATGTGCACAAGTGTGATAATAATCTTTGTTATTAACATCATCTGATGTAGAGTAAAGCAGTATCGAGTGGGGATACTTCTCGAGCTGAAAGCAAGGAAACGTCGCATTCCCAAGCAATCGACAAGAGAATTGAAGTAAGTTATATCTTAAAGATTTTAGGCAAATGAGATGAGTTTGCTCGATTGCAAATGACAATTTTGTCGTAGTGTCATCTAGTCTAGCATATAACACGACTTTTGTTTCAGGTGAGAAGACAATCGTATTATGAGTACATGATATTCAAAAGCCGATGGAAGAAAGCGGCCGAGGAGGACAAGTGTTGGGTTGATCCATACTCGGAAACGAAACAAGGGAAACAGACCACACGTTAATTCATAATTCGTTTTTCAACCTGATTCAATTAGTTTATACATGTACATTTTGATTTTTATGTAAAGAGAACAAGAAAAATAGAACAAACAGGAAATGAGTGGTTAAAGATTGGCTTTGGAGTTGTACGTGTGTACAATTTGACAAGGGAAGTTACTTTCACATGGTTAATTCAAATAATATTTAACTTTTTTATGAAGGTGTAAAAGTAAACCTTCAAATTCAAAGACGATGCCATAACCCTAATTTTACAATGTTACAAAATTAGGCCTAAGACTACATTCAGAATTCTAAAAGTAAATCGACTAAATAATTAATTATTAAACAAAAAATTTAGTCATGTATTCTTCGTCCAATTCTCAATATTGTAGCGAATCAATTATTATGTTGTCTAATTTTTGGTCAACAAATCGAGCCCCAGCAACACAATCTGAAATTAAGTTACAATGTTTACAATCTACCGTATTTGAACGTCTATGGGTAGGAATATCAAACGGTCGAGCGGCTTGTCAACTCGATTCGTCAAAACCAGGCTTGTGGGCGGCTCGGGCTCATCAAATGACGAGCCTGAGCAGGGCTTCAAATCAATCCACGAACCGAGCAGGACTCGGCTAGTCGAGCCCACGAGTGGCTTGTGGGCCAGCTCGTCAAAAAATGTTCAAAACATTCAATTTACCAAAAAAAAAAAATTTAAAAATTAAAAAAATCACGAGCTTACTAGCCGATCGTGAGCTTGGATCGGCTCGGCCCGCAAGCTCGGCTCATCTTCCACGAGCCACGAGCTCGTGGGTTAAACGGCCGAGCCGAGCCGGCTCCGCCCATCGCCATCACTATCTATGGGGATTTATATTTCTTGACCAATGACTTTTACAGAGTCGGTCTACTATAGGAGGTAACCCTCTCAACTCGTGCGCAATGGACCATCTCTTCCTCTAAAATGGCTGATGCCAACTTATTTAATGCATTCTTTCACAACTTTTCATATCGTTCATTAAAAAAAAAAAAAACAAAACAAAACGCTAAGACTTTCTCTTGGCTACATTAAATTATTTGAGATATAGATACAAATAAATAAAACCTATAGTAAAAACCCCAATAATAATAATAATAAATACAAGGCATTTTATTGTATCAAATGGTAGCTGGTCTCCAACTACCTACACCCACCCCCTTAATAGTTGTTCCAACTTGGGTTGAACCAATTATGCCATAACCACGCATCCATATTCTTCTCCCCCAACCCCAATAATTGAAACTCATCTAATTTTATTTATTTATTATTGTAGCTCATTTAAACCACTTTGTGCTCCTACCAAACTCTATTTTAACACCCTTCACATTATTTAATTTTTCATTTTCGAAATGAAATAAATTTCTTATAAAATTATATTAGTAAAAGTTTAATACACGGGCTCGGGATCCTTTCATTCACAAGTCCTTTCTTTACCATGTCATGTCAAAATATCTACAATCTGATACACGGATTCAAGATCAGGTCATTCACGATTCCTCTTTTTCTGCATCACGGCAAAGTAACGTCACATCGAAATAGCATCTACTATAGGTTGTATGTTTGTACTAACTATGCATACAGCTGTAAGCAAGGGTCTATCCCAAATCCAATATGAAATGGACCACATTAAATTTATCTCAAAGTGTCCTTTAGCTTGCTTGACTATCTTCCGATAAATGCAAAGTTGGAAATAAGTAAAATTACTTATTGGAGACAAAGTATAGACGAATGAAACGGCAGAACTCGAGTTGAGATATGTTAGCCCAAAATGGCTGCCCCAATACATTTTTCACACAACACTTGCATCTTCCCATTTTTTAAGAAGATGTAATGTGCTCATATGTCGAAATGCATTGAGAATAACTAAGAAAACAAGTTCGGGACCCTAAATTTGAGTGCCTTCATCGTACACACCCGACATGTTTTAAGTATAAAAATACTAATTGGTGCGTTATAGAAATAATTAATGGAAACAAAATAATATCTTAATCTCAGTCATCAGTAGTGTCACATTCCACATAAGAACATGAACTGTCTGCAAACAGACATCATACCCCCAACATCTTCTTACTAACCAACATTAAATTATTACACTGGAAATCACAAAAACTGTAGTTCGACGCTAAACTTTTGCGATTTCAAGCAAATTTTGAACTGTATAGAGAGAGGTGGAGGGGACAAATCCCAATAACTAGCAAAACTTAGCTGGAAATAGCTGTCCCTCAAACCAATTACTCACTCCTATCAATCTAAAACAGATATTCTTTTCTTCCATTTCACATTTGAAAGTCCCAAATAGTAAAATATAAAGAAAATAATATGTTTGATACGTCTTACTAATCAAGTTCGAGTCCAATTTAACTTATCGAACATGTAGACGAACAATTTAGAGATGGCATCCAAAGCAATTACAGGTCCTGGGAGTGAAAGAGCAATAACCGAAGGGCCTGTGTGGTATGTTACAATTGATGGCATAGCAACAAGGAGAAGGCAAACAGTACCTTCTGGAGGCACCTCCACAGCAAGTGCAAAGTGAGCAAATCTGAAAACTCCCAAGCTTTCTCCGGGTTTCGTTTAACATCAGCACCATCTCTGTCTTGCCCGCTTCGATTAGAGGCACCATCTCCGCCGCCGTGACATTTTCTAAGAACCCATTTGCCTGCAAGATCAAGAACCGGTTAAGAATGACGAAGCATGGAATCAAGAAAAGGATTTATATGTTCTACGAATACTCACTCTAAGTTCATGGGGACTAGTCAGGAATAACAAAAGGGAGAAAACCCAGAAAAACCCACCAACAGAAGCAGACATTTCTTCTCAAATTCTTGAATTTTTAATGGAAGAATCTTGAAAATGGTGGTGGAGTTGTGAGTGTGTGATAGAGTGAGAGGGGTATGGATCTTTCTTTTTATTTCAAGAAATTTTGATTTCTCTAATAAATAAAGTTGTTTGGAACGGATAGACTCGTGAGTGTGGGGTTTAATGACATTGTAATGTCAATAAGAATGGTAACTGCAATTCTCTCTTTTATTTGTAATTTTTGGTGGGAGAGAAATGGAAATGTGAAATTGGGGAAGAAGAGGAGTAGTTTATAAGGGCAGATGGCCCATGTTGTGGACTTTTGAGTCCATTTCCACGTGGTATTGAAAGGGAAGGGACGGTTGATAATTAATATCACTATTAAGGGAAAGATAAAGAGTTTGATCCTCAACCTATTCACATCGTTTCGACGTCGAACTCAATCTTCTCTTAGGTTGTGTGGTCGCTTATCTATCTGTTTTGGTGCGGTGTTTGTCCCAGCAACAGCTTCCTTTCATCAGCCAATGAGCATGTTTTGGGACTAAGTGGCTTTCTACCAATTTATTTGACTTACTAGTCGATGCCACGTGCGTTGCACGATTATTGTATTTAATGTGTCTTTATTAGCGTGATGTAGAGATATTTTAGTTTTCTTGGCTGATTATGCTTTTGAAGTTTGAATTAAATTTTTTGGCATGAATCTTCTCTAGCAGTTAGTAAAAATTAGATTTAAAATTGTGGAAATATAAGTAAAAGATAATTTATAATTTTTCTATAGTAAAGAATAATTTAATTTTCTTTTTTCTTTTGTTTTAACCAACTTTTCTTTAGATTATTTTATTATTTTCTTACATTGAAAATTGAAAACATTTTAAATGCATTTAATTACTGAGAGAGTGAGTTTGGCTCCAATTTTCTAAATTAAAATGTTAATTGAAAGAGTTTTTGGAGGATAATTTTAAAGATTGACTCTTTATTATAGAAATTATCTCATGTTTAAAGACTTTCCTAAAGATATTTCATTTAAATAACTCTGAATATTAGAAATGGATTTGGTTTGAAAGTAAGTGGGAATGTGGATTCTTGTAGTTGAGATAGTCAAATTATTGCACTTGTGATAGAGGATGAAAACAAACATGTCTCTTTTTTGCAGGCAAAAGATAAATGTCAAAAAAAAATAAAATATTGCAGAATGCTAAATGCCAAATGTAATTAATGTTAGTAATTATTTTACCAACCTACTTCATTTCTTCACCTCAAATTCATAACTCATTTTTCATCTGCATCTTCAATTCATTCATTTCAAATCTCAAACTAATTACAGTCTGGAATTAAGTAACAAATTCTAAGGTAAGTTGATTTTTATGAATAATGTTATTTATATGAATAACTTACTATTTTTAATGTTGATATTTGTGAAAGAAAGGTGAAGTTTGTGTCGAAAATGAAGTTGGTGGTGTGGAAAATAAGTGGGGGAGATGGCTGCAGTGTAAGATAAAATGTGCGGAGTGCTGAGGAGTCCCCGCAAGGCCAGTGCGAGGAGTCCCCGCACAACTGTGTGGGGACTCCCTGCACCAATTTGGACTCCCCGCACTTGGAACTTACTCTTTTTTTCTTTTTTTTAAAGTTAAATTATAATATTTTTTATATAAATTGAAGACAAAATCTCAGAATTAGAAATACTGATTATTGATATGCATTGATAGTGAATTTTTTTTTTCAGCTTACATGATATATACTTACATGAAATCAGGAAGATATGTTGGTATATGTTATGACATTTTTCATTTCTATTACTTGTGCAGATGTCTCTAGAACCAATGGTTTTCTGATACTATCACTCAATACCCCAATTACCAATATGTAAAAGATTGTATAGCATTGTTTCAAGTAGATAAGCAATCACTTTTAATCTCTAGCGATAGCAGTTTTTATGGATTTATGTATAGAGATGAAGAGTAATAATTCAGCAGTAAACTAATACATGAATTTATAATGAGGTTTGTTGACTGTGGTAAAAGGAATGAGGTGTGGGTGAGGTTGGACGATCATTTTGCTCATTTTGACTTGTAAGAATTTTGTCTAATCACAGGATTACCTTGTCATGAAAAATCTGTTAATCTAGATCCCAACAATTCTCGATTTAGAGATCAATATTTTGAAGGCAAAAAAAGAATTAACATGAGAATGCTTTACGATGCATTCCAATTGTGCGAAGGTCCAAAGGATAAATTAAAATTAAGATTGGTGATGTTGGTAGAATGTGTTTTGACACCAATGGAAAGATATATTGATTACAGAACTTTAGGCATTGTTGAGCAGCTGAATGATTTTTTGTTGTATCCTTGGGCCTGTAAGGCATACTTTATTTTGTTGAAGTCGTTGCAACAATCACATAGTGAAAGAATGCAACAGTCTGGCCAAAATGAATGTAAATATATACGACATGGATATCCCCTTACCTTTCAAGTAATTTTTTTTAATTTATTTACTCTATATTTTGATTTTATACGTATTTAATATTGATTTTGAATTCTCTGTTGTAATTTTGGATATATGAAACATTTCATCAAATTGGAGACAAATTTGGACGACGTATGTATAAGACAGTACATACTCCAAGAATGCATAAATGGAGGCGAAAAAAAATATTAAGTGAGAGAAAAGTAAAGCAATTTTTCACTACCCAAGAGGTACAATAATTTTAGATATACATATAACTATTAATTATCTAATTATTTAATATTGGGAGAGGAAAGTTTTATAATTTTTTATTATATTTGTAGATTAAAGTACTTGCAGTGTTAGCACCCACTGAAGAAGAATTGGACAAAGTTTGGTATATGACTTTATCATTACCAACTGATAACCAACATACTATTTTAGATGGCATCATTAGAGAATTTGAGAATGCACATCAACAAATTCCACAACATATGGACGAGCAACAAATTCCACATCGTATGGACGAGCAACAAACAGGTGTTGCTGATAGTTCAACAGCACAGATTTCAATTGGACTTCAGGAGTCTGGTTGTTCTTCCCTTGATTTCAACTATGTAAGAAGAGAAGAAATGTTCAGTATGTATAGGCAGCATGTAGTGTCAGATATGTCTGGCTTGTGTCATAATCTGAAGACAGACATAGTTGATGAATCAAGAAGACAGGAAGCAGAAACCCTTCAAAACCAGAGACAAATGTTTGAACAACATCAAAAATGGTACGAAGATCAACACGAGCATTTGGGCTTCCAATCTGGGATGCATTCCTATCATACTGCCCAAGAAACAAAAGAACAAGATGCTCGTTATCAAGCATTTATTGATCAACAGAAAGAAATGTTTCAACAACAACAGAAATGGCATGAACAACAGTATCAAGGAATGTTTCAACAACAACAAAAATGTCATGAAGATCAGTATCTGGGAATGCAGTCTTATATGAAGAACAATTTTGCTTTCATGCAGTCTTATATGGACAGTAATTTTGATTCAATGACGATGTACATTGATGACAAAAACGAAAATGTGATGAATCGATTAGATGATTTGGAATCAAAACTGGAAGTTATTGCTTGTTCATAGCTGCAGGATGTTCCTGGTTCTAGTAGTGGCCAGAAAACACTATTTCAGGAAATTCAACCGATGGAAACATCCAGAAAAGAAAAATAAGAAAATAAAATATTCATGTTGTCTATTAGAATACCATCTCATGGAAAGATATAGAACAATAAAAGACTGGGTGGCGCGGAATTCATCCAGGTAAGAAATTTGATTGTTTATATATATATATATATATATATAGTGCATATTGGAATATCGTAGGAAGCGACAACTTATATGGAAGAGATATAATAAAAATTATAATGGATGCAACCGAAGATATCAATATTGTGGTTAGTGAAATTTATAACTTTGGCTTAATTAATTTATTATGCTCAACATATCTAATTTATTTCTATTTATTGTATTAGCATATAGAAATGAAATTAAAGCTATTGAGAGAGTTGATCAATGAAGGTTGCAGTCCCGTTTTCAAAGAATATGCAATTCTAGACTTCAAATTTGAACATGAATGTGCTGCCCAATTGATGTGACAACATAATGTAATGGCAGAATGTTTTAGCCATTCTCAAAAGGATTTATTAACTGTGACTTTGCAGCAATACATGAATGGTGATTTGCCGGTGGTTGGGCATTCATGGATAGCTTGCAACTATTTATTAATTCTGTGTTCATATTCGGAAAAAAGTTGGTATCTCTGTCTTGTTAATTTTCTGGAATGGAAAGTTCAATTATACGATTGTAGTGAGGAGTCTCATACACCAGAAGAAATCAGGGAACAAATAAAGTCATTAGTTGAAATAGTCCAAATTTCATTGAATTCTAGCAAATTTTTTTCTAGGAGACCGAATTTAAGGAAGCATAGAAACAAAAGGCTCAATATGAAAATTATACTTTACCTACCTTGCGCAAACAACATGTATGTATTTAGTGAATTTAAATTGACAACATTTATTCTTTCCTGATTTACGATTTTACTCTTCTACTATTTGTTTTGTCTAACAGAAAACAATTCTTTGATACAGGGCAAATTCTCCAGTATTTTTACTCAAATACATAGAATGCTTTGTTTTAAACTATCCATTAGAAACAGTTGAAGCAGACATGATGAGTATATATAGAAGAAAGATTGCAGTAGACATTTGTTATAATCAATATTTTCTACATCCCCGTAGTTCCTGATTAGTTTTTCATTGTAAATGTGAAGAATTTGTAAATGCTGCCCGATATTTGCAGACAACTTACCGTATTTATCGTATTTGCACCTTACTATTTACAATTTACCGTATTTGCAAACAATTTACTGTATTTTCACCTTACGTATTTGCAGGTATTTTTGCACTTACAAATACTAGAATGCAAAACACCGTAAATTCACTTACCAGCTGAATTTAAAAAAAAATTAGATTTTTATTTGTTCAAAATAAAATAAATATTAAATATATATGAAGTTGGGTGGTATGCATTATCAATATAACCTTCTTTGAACTTGTCATCTATAGATTTTTTTTAAAAAAAAAATCATTACTATTTAGTTTAAAAATTAAAAAAAATATATATATATATATAGTGGAGTTCTTCAAAAAAAAAAAAAAACTGTGCGGGATACTCCGCACGCAGGTCCTACCATTTTTTTAATTTATAAATTATTAATTAGAATTAATTACTATTAATTATTTTTTTAAAATATTCTTTAGATAACAACAAATCT